ATCGCACGCGGCGTTGGCAATCTTTTACATAGACGGGGAATCTCTGAAAATTGGTTTACCCTCTGTACAGACTATTTGTACACAATTTTGTAAAACGTACACACACGCGGACACTCGCACTCGGAGATGGAAACATCTTGCTAATTTCAGCGAAACAGCGATGAGTTAATGAGCGTAATTAGATGCATCTTTAGCAACGTACTTACTCGCTATTAACACCTTAACAGTCCAGTAAATTTGACGAGATTCGAAAAAATCGTCTTTGCAATTTTTCTAGCGAACTGCGTGCGTAAATAAGCGTCCACCGGAGGAGGTATGTTTTTAATCTCATTGAAAAGGAGTATTTTAAAATGACGTTGTTTAAAAAACGGAAAAAAAATTGAGAGTTTTCCTGAAAATGGCTAACAGGAAGATAAATTTTCGTAAAAGACCAAAGATATAATTATTAAGAAGCAACAAATTTTCTGTAATTAGAACAAAAAAAAAAAAAAAAAAAAAAAAAAAAAACGAAAACGCGGGATATTGGTTCAAAAAATGGAAATTTCCTGCATCTTAAAGCTACGTAGAGAATGTAATCCTGGATCGAGATCAGTAGTTCGCGTTCGAGTTCAGACTTGGCTCGTAATTGTTGAAAACAGTGGACACTGGACTATTAAGAGGTTAATCTAGTATTATATTAATTAGTCACAAGCAGATTTTATCTTACGCACGTTTACAAGACAAACGAAAGGAAGAATTTCCTCGAAGAAAGGAAGAGTTCGTGAAGAATAAATTCACCGCGCGTGGAAGGAACCTGATGAACTATCCACGTACGTAGGCGCAGACCATGTTCCACGAAGACACATGCCCACGGAGACGTGCCTTTAATCTCTCGAATCCCTTTTAGAATTCTATTGTAAAAGAACGTACGATCTCGCCCCCGTAGAAGTGGATGCGTCGCGTTCTCCTCGAACAATACGATTCGCCATAATTCACGCTTTGCTGTCTACCTACCGAGCCTGTATGAAACATGTGTCGATATTAGTGACACTTGGATATCGGTTTGTCTCTCGGCTCATCTGCGTGCGTCGCACGAGCGTGGCCACCGAAAGAATATTCTCTGTAACCGAGACACTTGGAATAAGCCTTCGAGACTACGATAGATGTTCTTATCGCTTAACCCATTCGTGTGTCATGCGTTAACAATCGTTAAAAACAAGAAGCAGGGACAATGCTCGAAACTCGAAACCCTTGAGACTCGAACTTGACACTCGAGTGAGAATCTGCGTTATTTATTTCCATTTAGAATACAAATGAGCTTTCGTTCGAGAACCTTGGACTTGTATCGATAGAAAAAGAGAGAGAGAGAGAGGGAAGGAAGAATTTGTCAAAAGTTTCTAGTTTTTGAAGAGAAAAGAAGTGAAAAATAAGCATTCCGAGTTACAAGGGAGTTTCATGCTTCGTGAGTTTCGAGACTTCGCGAACTTTCAGGCTCGAGTTTCGCGAATCTAAAAATCAAATCTCGCCCCGGTCCCCGGTGAAAAGTTCCGGCGATAAGTTATAAGCCCTGCGAATGAATGTCACGCGATTGTATAATAAGTTTGCTCGTCGCCGTTACAAGTTCAAAGTACCACTGATCTAAAGTACAACCAAGCCAAGAAGAAGAAGAAGAAGAAGAAGAAGAGACATTGTTTTTGTAAGAGTTGAGCGTGCAAGGACAGAGAGCGATGGTTATTCGACTGTGATACAAGGGTTAATTATTCTTATCTTCGCGGTTTGAGAAGAGGCGCGCGCGTTGTTCGAAGAGACGGAGAACTTATCGCTTTCGAAATAAAGCTGAGGAAATCCCCTTCCTGCCTAGGCCAGTTCTTTTCTATGAGTTACAGGAAAACTTATATCGCGCATGTACCCATTTACTATACAGATACAGATTATATATTTACACGCACCGAAATGACGCATCTAATTTTCTATCTAATTTTTTTTTTTT